TATATATATATATGTATATATATATATATATATATATATTCATAATGCTTGATTGTTCTCCTTATTTTGGATTGATATATTTCTAGAATTCGGATTTCTATTGACCCCATAATTTTATTGGTGACAATGTTTAGTGTATTGTCGTGTTTATGATGATTTCGCATGATGTGTCTCAAGATTTGCAGAAACTTAGGTGTTCCGCTTATAAGGACGGGATTTTTTTTGCATCCTTTTAAGATTTTTTTTTATTATACATGAAGTGTGTAAGCTAGTTATACTTTAGCCTTTGTGTAACATCAAAAACAACTTCATTGTAAGATGTTTAAATCTACTGAATTAAGGCTTTTATTTAAAAAAAAACTTAAAAAAAGAAATTCTTAAAACCATAACTAAATCTTCAAAAGTTTTTTAGTCCTGCTGCTGGAATGATATCAATGAATTAAAAATTCTGTTGAACTACTTGTTTTGCTAGTTATAATCTCTAGGATATGTAATGGTCATGATATCGATGAATTCAAAAAGGCTTCATATTTTTAAAGTACTTGGCATCTGATTTCTTTTACAACTGCATATTTTATTACTGCACACAATTAAAAGATTATAAATGTCAAAATGCATAATCACAGGGCTTGGTTTAATGAGAACAAATTTTGGTCCCTCACGTTTCAGCTATGATTCGGAATGTCTTATTCTTGATGCCTCTTTTCGACTTGAAATCGATGAACTGGTCATCTGTCTTGGTAATATTGGTTACTTGTTTGCTTTCATCTGTGCAGAATTTACTTGCATATTTGTTTAAGGTTAATCAGTGCAATATAATTGTTGTTGATAGATGAAATATGATGTTCTTATGGCATTGGATTGGCTGAAGTCAGTATACAAACTTATTGTTCTGCTTGGTGGCAATCTATTGTTTTATGATATTTCAGTTTCAGCCTTTTTCTCTTGCCTTGATGTTATTCTCGGTTACATTTTATTGTTTGATTATTTCTCATGAAGCTCAATGAGAGTCTATTTTTAAATTCTAGGAATAACAACTGTATATCCTTTGATTCTGTCATGTGAAGTTCAATTTGAGTCCATTTTTTAGTAGCAGGAATAGCAACTATGCTTACTTTTAGATGATAAATGGAAGTTATACAGAAAATTTCAAATCCTTTCTTTAATGAAACTTAAACGAAAAGGTTCAATAGGAATTATTCTTTTTGACTATCTTTATGTGTTCAATGCACATACATATGGAAAGTTAAACTAAAGCCTTTTTACAAGAAGATAATCCTTCCATAGCAAATGCTACACCTCTCACTACCTATTGAATGGTGGAGATTTAAAGTGGCTTTACATATTTAAATATGTCATGTATTATCACCTTTAGCTTTATCCCAACTATTTTAGGTTCGCTTTAAATCATAAATTTTCGTTCCTCATTGCTGAGTGGTTATGGCGTTAAACCTATTTTTTTGCAAATCATTTTGAAAAACTTCTATCCATGGAATGAAGCTATCTCTTTTCTTTTTTCAATCCTTTAATACTAAATTTATCTACTCATATAAGGGGTGCTTACATGTTTGAACGTCTTTAATTTATTTTCACTCGCTTTACTTCATTAGATGCCACCTCAACCTTCCTTCTAATATAATTATCTCTTGATTTTTTTCATTCTTACCTTTTAGCAGATCCATCTTAATATCCTTATGTTAGCATCACTCATCTTGGATGTCAATAACTTATAGCGCAACCTTTAGATCTATGCAATATCATGTCCTAATCTTGATTTTATAGATTTTGCATTTAAGCTTTCATGAGGTCCTTTTATCACATAGATATTACAAGAAACTTTATTTTAATCGTCCGTTTTAACTCAAAAGGTTTTATCATCAATTACATCTCTCTTTTTTTGTATGATAGATTGAAGATATTTTAGCTAATTATGTGTAGATGTCACTTTATTTTGTGTTAATATTGAATAATAACTATCAATATCATATTTTCTAAAATTACATATCTTGTATTTAATTTTGATTCTATTATTTCTAAAGTATTTTTTTTCTAAACATTTCCTTCACTAGTTTAATTTTTTTCTTGTTAGAACTATATCATATGCAAAATACATGTATTAAAACTTCTTATTTTGAATATTCTTTTTAAGCATCTTTATAATCACATAAAAATATATACGCTCAATGTTGTTCTTTGATTTAAACTTATGGTAATTGAAAGCTCTATGTTCACTCCATAATTATTTCTAATACATAATATCTTTATAAACATCAATATATATTTGGCACACAATTTTTTTGTCTTAAAGTTCACCAAATAAATTTTTTTGGTTGATCATATGCCTTATTAAGTTCCACAAGCATTATTTTTGAAAATATTTTTTTTTGTTTTTTTTACTTTGTCAATTATTTTAACAAAAAAAAGTTTTCATAATTGATCTTCCTAGCTTAAAACCTTTGGTTAGCAAAATTGGTTTAATTTTACAAAGCATACTTCTCATTACTTTTTCCCATATCTTAATTGTATAACTCTTAAGCTTGATTGCTCGATAATTAACATAATCTCAAACATCATCTTTATTCTTGAATTTTGGTGTCAAACTTCTCCAATTATTTTACATTCTTTTAGTTCTTAAAATTTTATTGGAAAAAATTGTTATTCACCAAATCACTGCAAAAACTTTCCTAACTCTCCAAATCTTACTCGGTATTTTATTTGGAATTAAAGCCATATATTTATTCATCTTTTTAAAGCTAACTCCACCTTTTTTTTTTATTTTGAATTAGTCCGTTCTTTACTTCATTATATTGTTCGTTTAATTTTTGCAAAATAATGTCTTCTTTAAATTTCTCTTTTAGTAACTTCTCAAAATAGTGCTTTGATTTTTCCTTGATATCTTCATATTTATCTGAGATCCATTTTTCTTCACTTTTAATTATTCAAAATTCCTAGATCTTTTTTCTCTTGGCCATTTTGTATATCTACTTTTCTCTTTAGTATCAAGCGTATTATATAAATCATAAATATTTTAGCTTTTACTTGTTAATTTCTTTGCATGTTTTCTAGCTTTCTTATAGTCATTATCAGTCTCAATAGCATTTAGTTTTAATCACATCTTAATAACATATTTTTTTTCTTAGTACCTTCGCGCTTTGCCACCAAACTATTTTGTTAATGTTTGATCTATTTTTACTCTCCTAAAATTTTTATGTCAATCCTCTTAATGAAGTGGCCATGTTTTTTCACTTCAAGTCTGGATAATTTGAAGCAATCCAATTTACCTTTCTTACTAAAATATCAACAAATTATCACCATTTTAAATTGATGAATTTATTTTGGGCCAATTTTATTTATTTTTTTAAAATATTGTTATACTCTTATTATATAAATCCACAACTGGTACCTTGTGCTGTGTTATCAAGTTTTCTCATGGAATCGGTCTTACAATCTTTACAAGAAAAGCTTTTTTCCCTTATAAGCAAGAAAATCATCTATTTCCCTTATTTTTCTTTTCTTCATTTAGTTTCTTATAAAAAAATTATATTTAATCTAAAGCTTAGATAACTTGAATTGCTGTTCCAACAAGCTTGGGACAGAGTCTTCTATGCTTTGTTTGTTTGTGAGTGTTTTTCAGCTGTACATAATATACAGATCAAAGTATCCTCAATGGATAGTTACATATATGCTAAAGATGGTGAATTTCATTTCAAAATGTGCAAGTTTTTAGATGATTTTGAATTAAATATGAGTTAATAATATTTTTGCGTGTATGTGATGATTATGATGTGTGAATTCTTGGGTAAAACTAAACCTTAACAATGATTTCTTTGTCAATTGAACATCCTCAACTTTCTTAGAGGTTTAATCAAATGGTTAAATCATCATGAACTTTTTTAAATTTTATTCATATGTAATGTTTATATTGTACTAAGTGCAACAACATGATATTGAGTTTGAAGAGTATATAAAATATTAGATGCAAAAAATAAAATTAAGGGCAATGTCATTCTCTTTGAAGGAGCAAAGACTATCTCTTGCTTTATATATGTAGATTTTAATATACACACGTGCGAAGCAAAAGAAGAATTTGATACAGAGAAGGGGGGGGGGGGGGGGGGGTATTTTTTTATAGGCCATTTATGAATGAAAGAGGCATGGATGTATTATTGTTATCACAATTTTTTGGCTATACACGATTGAAAATTTTAAGGATCTCCTTTCTGTTAGATTTGGTGTTTAAAGACTTGAATTGAATATTAAGGTCTTTGATTTTATTGTATCGGTATAGCATCATCAATCAGATAATATTAGAAGAGATCTACGTTTGTATGCTTGACATTTGAATCTAATTTCGTATTGCAATAGGATAATGATGATTTTAAAATTTTAATCTTATTTGGATAAGTTCACATTTAAATTTAAAATTAGTTTAGATAGGACATAAGAATTGTCGCTTAATTTGTTTCTTTTTATTCTTTTGTTTTAAACTTACCTAGGTTTGGTATGATAGACAGGATTTCTTTTTTTAATGATTTTTTTTGGGTGCTAGATTAATGTTTGCTATTATTGCCTATAAATAGGCTTGAAGTCCTGCATTAAAATCAATGATAATCTGAAGTTCTTCGTGAACACTTTTTCCTTACTTATCCCTCGGCCGCCAGTCTTTCGTTTCTTTTTGGTAGCATAACATAATATTATACCAAATGAAATGGAACCAAAAGCCCCTTAACGAGCTTAATCTTGCTAATGAGAATTGAATAAGATTACATCCATTGCTACCCTTAATCATATTCGATCAGATATTGCCGATGTAACGAATTTTGTTCATCCTGGAACTCCACTTGACGAGGAAGCTGCACAGAGGGGAACATCTGTATATCTTGTTGAAAAGAGAATTGACATGCTTCCAAAACCATTAACTGAAGGTATTTCTGTATTTTTGTTTTGAAGGTCCTTGACTTATTTTGACTTTTTATTTATATGTTTATTACTTCCATTTATTGCAGACATATGTTCTCTTCGGTCAGACGTAGAAAGACTGGCCTTTTCTGTTATTTGGGTATGTAATTCTAAAAAATTTATGATAGTTTGAACTACTTGGAGTTGGAAGTATCAGCTGATGCATATTTACAGATATCTGATAGATTTTCTGGGAATTGCAGGAAATGACACCTGATGCAGAGATTATATCTACGATATACACAAAAAGCATTATCAAATCCTGTGCTGCATTATCTTATGTTGAAGCTCAAGCCCGAATGGATGATAGGTGCATTTCCATTCTCTCTCGATTTGCTTTTTATTAAAAAATGGACTCTATTTGCAATTTTGCCCTGACAAGCATGTTAATGGCTACCGTCCCTGGGACCTTCTTATGATGTCAGCTGCACTGATGTTCTTTGTTATTTTTGGTTCTGAATTACAGAGGACTGCAAATTTGATAACCTTTTTGAAACTAAAATTATGGTTTATGTTTTGCCACACCAAGCATTACTTTTTCTAAGTGTTAATATATATTTTTTTGTGGTTTTTTAAAGTCGCATGATCGATCCATTAACTACTGACCTGCGCAACTTGAATTCATTGGCAAAGGTTAGCCAATCTTCTTTGTTACCCTTTTTATTTCTTTTTATTTTTTCTGTTTCAGGATGATAATAAGAAATTTTCTTTGATATTTCTAATATTAAAACACAGATTATGAGGCAACGAAGAATTGAAAGAGGAGCCTTAACACTTGCTTCGGCAGAAGTTAAATTCCAAATAGATACAGAAACTCATGATCCTCTGGATATTGGTATGTGATTTTATCGTAATCACTGCTAAATATCACTATATACTTCCATATTGAGCTTAGCTTTAATATTTTTTGGCAGGAATGTATCAAATTAGAGAGGCAAATCAGATGATTGAGGAATTTATGTTGGCTGCCAATGTTTCTGTTGCAGAAAAGATATTGAGACATTTTCCATTGTGTTCTTTGTTGAGGTCTGCCTATGAATTCTTTCTCCTTTAGCATCATTCACTTGTTTTGCAATCTCTGTGTATCAGATTTTTACTTTTCTTGAACATTGTTTTTGTCATTTCTATTCAAAATAGAAGATTTAATTGTTTATTTGGGCTGATGTTTCTATAGTAGGATACGCTCTCTGCAGGAAAATTTGTATTGATATTATATTAAGATGATATTCTTCACTTAATTGAAAACTATTATAAATGAAAATCTGCTAATAATGGCTAAATTTTTTTTATGTTAATCATTTTTTTTTTGAATAGTTTTATTGGCTTGGGAAACAACAAACTTTTTTTTGAGCTTTAAGTGGTAACTGGCTAATAGCAAACATCATATGTTTCTTATTTATTAACTCTTGAAAATGGAAATATACACTCTACGAAAGTCCAGGTCACCCAAACTGGAGCAGATTTTTATGAACTAATTATTGGTTAAAATACTTTAATACCTTCTAGAGGATACCAATCTTGAATGAACTATGACGCTCTTATGTTTTATTTATATGAAGTTTGGTTCATACATGTTTATGGAATTTTTTTAATAAATGACCTTGTCGTAATGAGATTGTTGGATTCCTGTTAGGTCTATTTTTTCTATATTTTGTAAGTTTTATTTGATAACTTTCTAATATCTATCATACACCTATCTATTTGATTTATCTTCACGGAGTGAAACTACATATTTTTTTAACTGAGGGTCTGTTTGGGGCAGTTGCAACTTATTAAAATACTGCTGTGCAAAAGCTGCCGCCGATAAGCTAACTGTCTGTTTTTTTTTTGCGGTTTTGCAGCAACCGTTTCTGAACAAATGAATTTACAACCCCTGTAATATAGTGCTATTTATAACATAACAAATTATGCTTGCACATTTCATACTTGAAAATAAATTTCCAGTTTGAATGTAACAAAATAAAAATTGACACTTCATAAAACAGTGAGTAAAACAACAATCAAAATTAAAAATAGAACTATTAAAATAATAATTAATAATATGTAATAATATGATAATATATTTTTAAAATGCAGTTGATTATGTTACGAGAGAATCCTTCTCCAACGAAACTCTTCATGCCGATAAGCGGTGGATTCTTCAAATCGATTAGCCCACCTAAAAAAGTTACATTTCATTGTTTTATACCTTGGACATCTGTAAAATAGTCTCCCATAGCCGTGTGACTGTCGCGAAGCAAACAAGGAACATTGTATTTCACAGTACAGTACAATACGCTAGTTACTAGAAGTCTTCGAGCTTATCTTTTCAGAAGGTTTAAAACCACAAAACACAGATCCTTAGATGCAATATTAGTAATAAAAAGTAGTAGAACCACTGAATTCAAGTTTGGTGAAACTGTGAGGTCTCCGAGAACATAGTGCAAAACAACGAATTTGTCACTACAACAAGACAATAAACCTTAAAAAAAGATTCTTGGTTGCCTTTAAACTACATAATATATATCTCGTATGTGTTACATATGCATATCACAAAAAAGACCATCCAGATGAACCTCAAAATCCATAGAACTGAAAAAAGAAGAGAAACTCGGTTGCCTTATTGAGATTGCATACATGTCAGGAACCAATAACAACATGCATGCCATCCAGAAGAACCAATGTTGAATATTTCATCATAAATCTCCAAAAATAAAAATTAAAGCTTGCAATAAAACTTACATTAGATATTATACCCATGGTTACCTCATAGGCCATCCAAGTATGAAAAAACACGTGCAAAAGTACGGGAAATAATAGTTTTTTCACATTAAAATTCAAAATGTAACTCGTTGCATAAACCATCAATACAATAAACAATAAATATTTTCACAATATTTTGTAAATAAAGTAATAAAAAAACATTTGATCGTTCTATTCAACCACCAACGATGACATCTGTAATTCACCATCTCAACTCTATCATCCTCATGCACCCTCTCCGTCTTGGGAGCAAGTCTCAGACAAATCACTTTCAGCCTGTAATAAAGATTGTCCTAAACGATATTCATATGCTTTAGTAGGGGCATGTGAATAATTTTCATCAGCCTATTGAAGTCAATGTTACTGCGTGAAGGATGTCACCGAATGTAGTTGTGAGGAGTTATTGTAGCGACCACAATCTGCACTTGTTTGCTAAGCAGATATGTGGGCATATCCGCAAAATTACCCATTTTTTTTTCGAACTCAAATCGTTCTTTCAATAACCGCGTAAGTGTCTCTTTTTAAACATCTATTTCGTACGTCGAGTAATATTGCTAACTATTTAAAAATAAAAAATGTGGTATTTGGTATCAATAAATGGTTCTCTATAGGAGATACCCAACATCTATAAAATAATATTTATCTGATATAAATATAATAATTAATATTGTAGTAGAAGTACACTTCTATTTATTTGGACTCAAGCAAACTTGAAGGTGGTTGCAGAAAGTTGTATTTCTTAGTTACTTGACAATTTAAATATCGACTGTCGTGTGCACAACCTCCCATGCAGCCATAACAAAGGTGAAACACATGTTTAAGTCACATATAACAATAACACTTTATGTTGGAGAACCGTATCGCCCGATAAATGCGATCTTTTTACTGTCTGACACGTGCATCCACGTGTTTCATCCATCAATCGCTCCAATATAATTCTAAAGCATTTGACAAAGATAATCAAATTACATTGCTCAACTGAATTCAAGAAAGTATGGATGTATTAATTTACCCTAAAATATGATATATAACGTTGGTCCTATGAGATCTCTATAGGGGTCCTCTGGAAGATCGGGTCCTCAGGCTTGATAATTGCTAATGATAAATTGACCAGAACATTCAACTCAATTAAAAAATATCTACTGATTGTTTTCAAAGAATGTTGGAATCGTTTCATGGCTCTTCTCATAGATTCATCTATGATAAAATATAGTTTTGTTAACACTTCTCTGGAAGTCATACCGAGGAGCCATGAAGTCTAAATATGGGTTGTCATACGTAACATATTGTTAAACCTTGTTGGGTGCCCTATAAGCAATTTATCAACCCACTTATCGCCAATGCATGCAGTTGTCATGCAAGGAGAATGAGCAATATATGAGTTTTAGTACTCATACTTCAAGCATAACATTGTTGCAATTCTTCTTCTGCGTCTTTTTCTTTCCATGTTATTCACTATTTATTCAACTAACACATTAATAATCATCGAGTTAACTACTACCAGAACATGATTTTAAAGAAACAACATTCATAACGAAACTTTGAATAGAAAATAAGAAGTTGCACGATCAAACTTTTCTCATGAATAAAGAAAAGTTTATTGTCCAAGCTAGAAAACCAAAGCAACCTAAAGTAGTATAGATATTGTCCAAATGAAGAACAAATATGAAATGTGCAACAAGTAAAAAAGAAATTCAAGCTCCCTGATTATCATGAAAATATCGTAAATAATTGCCTCTAAGGTCATCATCATAAAGAACTCTCTCTGGGTCGAAACTTCAAACAACTTCATAGAGAATAAGTACAACATCATGTCCTTGTAAATTTCTTGAGTTGCTTCTGGAATTCACATTACTTGTTGAATATAAAGTTGTTTGTGATGTGTCAAGATCATTGATACATGAAACAACTAACTGTGAAATTTGGCTTCTAATGAAAACAATATTTTTTTTCTCAACCCTAGGACACTTAGATCGACTGGTAGATTCAACTCATTGAGGTTAGGGTTGGGGTCTTCAATGGAACCAACTGTTAGATCAGCATCTACATGCTCAGGTATTCCAACAAATCCTCTCGCTAGGGGTGCTTGCTTGATTGTCTGTGGCAACAACTCCACCAAATATGCGATCCAACTTTTCTTCATGCTCAGGGTCAATACCGCTGAACTTTAACTTTTTTAGCATTTGGAACGACCTACCTATTATTGGGTTATTCACTTGATGTAATTGAAAAAAAAAATAATTGGTAAAGGACTTCACGTATCATAAATTTTCACTTTCAATCTCTCGACCCTCCATTCTTCTAAAGCATCGATGGTTCACTTTATCAGGTCCCACTCCAAGCCTGTGGATCTTCGCTTTAACTCTTTTCATATTTTCTGGTTTATCCTTAACTGTTCCCACTTGTTGTTCAATTTTATTCTATCATATTCCCTTTCATGTACTCTCCCTGGACTTCTTTATTATATTTTATCATCCCTCATTGTTAAAATATGTGGTTAGCGTATTTCCTAATTCTACGTCTATAAGAGAGATGTCACAAAATATTATTTTCACATATTTATCCCACATGGTAGAAAACCAATTTCTTTTGTCTTTTACATGACGATACTAGCATGAAAAAGAACCAAACAACCTAAATGTTTATTAGAGAAAAAATAAAAGTGTTATTTAAAATATCACAACTCAAAAAAATAACTGAAAGGAAAATCAGAACAAATCACGAACACTACCACTACAATATCACCAAAAAACTACCACCTGCATTCACACACACACACACACTATTATTTCACCACCAACATATCACCAAAAAAGTACCACCAGAATCCACACACACACACCCCATTTTACCATCACCAACAACCACACACACCCACACACCCCACCTTGTCACCACTACCATATAACCATAAAAAATACCACCAACATCCAAATTCACACACCACAATGTCACCACCACCATAACACCATAAAGACTACCACCAACATCCACAGACACACCACCACCATGTCACCACCACCATATCACCATAAATACTATCACAAAATCCACAGACACACCACCATGTCACCACCACCATATCACCAAAAAACTACCACCACGACCAACATGGTAAAACATCACCATCAACAACGCCACCACTTACGCCATCACCACCAACAAACCACCACTTTGACACAAAATCACCATCAATAGCACCACCACCGTGGCACAAGAGCATCATCCACACCACCACTACAAACATCATCACCAACATAACATTGTCTAATCCAATAAAGAGGGCAACCACCAACAAAAATCATCCGACAAGTAGAGCTGCAAGTCTGCTCCAATTGAATAAAAAATAAAATAGCGGGAAGAGCCCCAACTGAGCAAGTTGCATGCAACAAAAAAAAAAGAAAAATTCTTTCTAGCAGAGGCCGACAAATTGCAAAAACCAAACCATAGACCATGAATTACGAGCATTGGCAAAGGGCCTCAAATCATCTCCTTCACACAAACCATTTCAATGTATAGCAGAGAGCACAAGAAATCACAGAGAAACTCACAGAGCCCTTCCAACTGACAGAGGCCAAAGCCAAAAATGGTAAAGGCCGCATGGGCAACGAAAAAGAAAACCAAAAATCACACATACACGAAAGTCAAATATTGCAAGGAGCTAGCCATACAAGGAAAACTTCAAGCCATAACATAGAATATCAATGATAATAACTTAGGGTAGAGAATACTATAACGGGAAATGGTATAGTGCTGTTGAAACAGGATGCCAGAGAGAAGGGAGGAACGAAGTAGAAGAGAGATGCCACCAGAACCGTTGACTAGAGTTAGGGGGGACAGAAGGAGGAGCTAGGGCAGACAATCATGAGAGGAGCTAGGGGACGATAGTAAGGGGTCACAGGGTCGAATAGGGGCAGCAAAATAATTTTTCGCTAACAAAAAGCAGGATGCGGGGTCGAATTTGTGGCCCACTGTTTATCAAATTATCCAAATAAGCTGTCGCAAAACTTTTTTTAAAAGCACCAAACCACGGTTTGAAGCCGTGCTGCAGCTAAAAAGCCGCCTCAAACGCACCATGTGTTTCTGAAAACTTCTAGAAGTTGTTAATTGGGTTCCCTGCTCAGTCTTGCTCTTTAATATGGTTTATTTCTTCGGGAACTAATTTCTATTTTTAGTAAAATTTAAGTCAGGGGCTTTTTTTTAACGTACATACCACTTATATGAATTTTTATATCCAACACCTACACTTTTATTTTTACATGTATAACACCTTCTCATATGCTTAGAAAGGTGTATTTTACTTTTTGTAACGTAAATTAAGTGGCATTTTGATGTGATATGAATGGTTCTCATGGTATAAATGTAAAAAAAAAAAAAAAAGGTTATGTACAGATATGTAAATACATAGGTATTGGGTGGTATGTATGTAAACGCCTCTTTAAGTTATTACTAGGTACTTGGACATGTTTACTTGGTTTCACCTTTTTAATTCTTCGCTTTGTGAGTATATAATCGGGACGTGTAATGTGCCTGTAGACGCCACCCTACTCCAACCAAGGAAATGTTGGAACCATTATTACGCACCGCAGCAGCTGTTGGCCTTCACTTAAACATTTCATCATCAAAAGCACTGGCTGATTCACTTGATCATGCTGTGGTAAGGACTATTTTTTTAATTCTTTTTTTCATTTCTTAATTCTTTTTTTTAAAATTTATTTTCGGGGTATTTACTTACATACAAGCGAATTCCTATGTTTATACATTATCTAACACCTAAACTTTACTTTTTCACTTTATGCCACCCAAATATTTCATATCGCATCAGAAATACTATCATTTTAACATTAAAAATGTGAAGTACACCTTTTCATGTATGGGTAAAGTGACATGTATGTAAAAATTGAAGTTTTTGTGTTAGATATGTACATAAGTAGGAATTGAGTGGTATGTATCATATCATCTTACTTCTTATATCATTCTTAATGAGCGCATGTTATACATAAAGGTTTCTGCTATTTATTGAATTTAGTTCTGACCATTTGCTTTGTATTGTTTAAAAAATTGCAGGGTGATGATCCATATTTCAATAAATTGATCAGGATTTTAACTACTAGGTGCATGACTCAGGTGCATAGCTAAATCTTCAAATGTAAGGCTATTGTTGTAACATTAAATACAGAGGATTTATTAAATTTTTTGAAATACATACAGGCCGTTTATTTCTGCAGTGGTGATCTGACCTCTGCTGACTTTCACCACTACGGACTTGCAGCGCCTCTTTATACTCATTTTACTTCTCCCATTCGGAGATATGCAGGTTAGTTGGTTGTTTTTTGTTTTCATATCACCAGGGTTAAAAGCTGCGAGCAGCATTTACATAATTTTTAATTTGTAGATTATATTGAAGTGGAGTATGAATAGTATAATAAGTTGAATGTTTTCATGATGAATTATTTAAATTTAATGTGTCGAGTCTTTCTAATTGACCCACCAATCAGTTATTGAACGAAGACGGATTAGGTCTCATTAGCCATATCCGTACTGGTAAGATTGCAGGTTGTCTTGGCTTTCTAAGTTCCAACATTATTGTTTTTTGATTTGGCGCTTCATTTTTTGTTTTTTGGCTGAATTCTTTCTGTATTAATTGCTTGACTCTTCATTAGTGTGACACAACAACGGAGTGGAATGCATGTTGAGGGTGGGGGTTATCAAGTGCTAGATATGGATTAATGGCCGTTCAATTAATTTCTTAATCTTTAGTGAATAATAGGAAATTAAAAGTGACTTGTTCATTGCATTGAGTGGATGGCCATTGGTTGATATTATTGTTGACTCTTAATTTCGGAGCTAGAAATATTTGACTTACATAGAGCTCGGCATCAATACAAGGATGAAGAAAAAGTTTTATTGAATCTCCTTCCCTGTCTAGCTTTGCAACATCTTTGGCGCTTTTTTAGAATAGGAACTCTCATCTCTTGCTCTAAGCTACTTGATCCCTAAATTTAAGTCCCCAAATCATTCTATGAAAAACCTTCATATAGATAGAAATGCTGGCTACAATAGGAAAAGTGGTTAAAGCATTAATAATAAGGTATATCATCAACTTTGATGTTGAGTTGTTTACAGGAAATCATGATTACAAAATACAAGCCAATGATGTAAAATTTAACATCAATTTTGTCTCATTTGACATCAGGTTGAACTTTTAAATGTTTGACAATACTCTTCTCAATCACAAAAGCACTTGGTTCTCGGGTGTTTTTCAAGACATTTTATGAGTTTTTTTTAGCCTTGATAGATTTCTCTTCAATTTATTAATTTTTTTGAGGTTTTTCTAGTCAACTTTGTCATCACCTTAGGAGGACTCTTGTTAGTTTCTTAGTCCGCTTTTCTTGATTTTCACATGCCATTAGTCATTTATCTCTCAATCATGCTCTCCTTTTCAGGAGGCAATTTACTCCTTTGAATCAGACCATCTTCTTTTGAGGAGATTCGCCCTTTCTTACAAATCAAATCCAACCCTTAGTGCCACAATTTTTTTCTCCTAGAGCTTGTTCTTTTTTTGTCGATCCTCTTGGTTCGACAAGAGGTCATTGTGAAGAGGTATGACTTCTTCCACCTCAACATCTTGTATTGGTGGCTCAAATGGCTTTATATTTTTCACGTGAAACTCTTTGTAAATTTTCGTGTAGGCAACTACAGTCAATTGTTATGCATTGCTTTTTATCTTCTTTTCTTGGACAATCCAAGTTGAATAGGCTTGATTTTTTACCCTTCACCTTTTATTCTCTCTTTATTGCTATAGAGCTATACGAGTTCTCCTTCAAACTAATTTTTGTTTGGTGCTAATTTTTCTAACACTTATATTGTTGATATCACTTGATGAACCTTCTCTCTAGACTCACTACCTTAGAGTGAATTTTCTCGATACTTTCTAGGGAATGATTGGCCTACCCCATGACTTTTATCTCTAATTTTCCGCTTGGTTATCGATTCTGTCATGAATTTTAAGTTGAAAGGATTATTGAGGTCAACAGTATTTTAAGCACACACTTCAAAGAGAGGTCAACCTATTGAACTTTGTTCTCCTTACTAAATGCAAACTAGTTATTTGTCAAATTGGTATCTCAATTCTTCATGTACTGCATTGAGTCCTCACCATTTGTATAATAGTTTATTTATTACCTCTAGCCATCAATTTGTGGATGGATGGCGATGCTCTTCTTGGGGGCAGCATCCAACATGGGCTATAGTATTTCCAACAGATGTTGAGAAAGCGGAATTGTCTTTCTGAGATGATAATGTTTAACAATCGTAAATTTACCCTAACGATATCTAGCAGACCAATTCATTAGTCCGTATTTATGGGATAAGACATTCTTTCAATTGAAAACGCATCAATATGATTCCTGCAAAGATGGTATTTGCTAGCGAAAGAGACTTACATTGTTGACATCACTTGAAGAACTGTCTCTAGACTCACTACCTTAGAGTGCATTTTTTTGATACCTTCTAGGGAATGATTGGCCTACCCCATGACTTTTATCTCAAATTTTCTACTTGGTTAGCGAAAGAGAGTTTTTTTCCCCCCAAAAATTTAACCTTCTCTCAAAATTTATCCAGCACCGGGAGTCGCAAAACTCAATGTTAATGAATAAAGAAACCAAGACATAATTGATTTGAGCTGTTCAGCCAAGAAGCGCAAAACCAAGCAGCTCATCATGTGAATCACCAATTGTAATATTGTAAAAAAATAATAATAATAATTGTTAGTGGATAAGTGTAGACTTCTAAGCACTGAAAAAATAATGATGAAGAATCAATACTAGCTTCCCAAAATGAGCAACTTTTTGGACTAGCTAAGCAGTGTCATAGTTTTCACAAAGCTTGATCTGAAATCGAGCCACCCCTGAGTCACATGATACTAGAAGAACAAATGTGGAAAACTATGCTTAAAACGAAACTAACCTTATCTTATTGGATAATTTCATTAAATCTGTAAAACATATCAGCATGCTTATGTTCCACATGAACGGCATTTTGGACTATTCATGGGGTATTTTGCAATTTTCTACTTCAACAATATTCTCATTTAAGGTCAAATGTAAGAGAAACACATCAGGCACATGCAAATGGTAAATGACCTCATGAAAAAAAAGAAACTTACTCCTCTGAAGCCTTGAGAAATGCAATTTTAGGAAGAATACCCTACTCTACTAGGGCTGCAAAATTAGAGATAGGGAGGTCAAGCTACTCCCCGAGAAGATAAAGGCAATAAAGAATTGGCCTCTTCCGCAAAATGTAACCAACGCGAGATGTTTCATGAGAGCGTGCCAATAAGTGAGGATGCTTACACAAATTTTCAAACTTGTAGCACCTTCGCATTCACTGACAGACCAAGCAGAAATTTTCAATGGAGAGGAAACTGGATGACACATTTCCACTTCTAAAATGGTAAATAAGCATGGCATCTAGTTTAGCCTTGCCAAATCTGCAAACTTATTTGAAGTGGAGATGGATGCTTCCTAACATCCACATTATGTGATTTCAATGCTTGAAGGGAGATCTAAAGCAAATACCGTTTTTTTTTTTTGAAGGCCTAAACCATATACTATTTGAAGCTACTACAATGTGTACAGAAAAATTATCCACATATGATAAGGAACTTCTCATACCTCAGCATGCAAAAAAGCACTAGCGAACTTACGTACTCAACACAAAAATTTTAGTTCATGTGGACCACAAACTACTTTAATACCTCTAAATTCAGTAAAAAATGAAGTAGATGAGGCATCCATACCAAACACCTTGATCGTCAGGCACAAGAAGCATCTATGCTCTCACAACCTCTATTGATTCTTAAGGTAGTAATGTGATTGTGACCTTCTTGGAATTAGTTTGCTCGATAAACTTGATAAATTCCGACACAGTTCTAGATGGCACCCAAGAGGACAGATACCTTCAAATAATAATTTCCTTATGCGGGGAATCAGCTCTACATCCCCAAGTGTAGCAAGCGAGTGAAGTAGATAAAATAAATACACTACCAAAGTGGTCAAACACTTGAAAGATATGAGGTTGCTTCAAAACTTACAAAAATATGTACTGGCAAAGAATACATCTTCATGCGACCAAATGATGTATAATATGCTGCACGTCAAAACCTTCCAACAAGAGCAGAAACTATGAACTCTATTGTCTATGCCAAGTCGGTCATGGCAAAGTATATACATAGGCTTCTCAGGAGGACTCAATAAAAAAGTATAACAATGGAAGGAATAACATGCTACTTTTACAAAAAAAAAAAATGAGGCACAAAGTCAACTAGAGAAAGGGTTGTTGGATTCTAAAAATGGTGGTAGCAAAACAAGCTTAGAGGATGATAAGCATGAGCTATTGTTGCATCTCAAATCTTTTCATAAAAAGAACACCAGGAGACTGGAGAGTAAAAGAAAGAAACATGGTTGTCCATGGTAGTTGGGGACCAAGAGTTGAGAGTAATCCTTTTGAATCTATTTGAGTCAATAAGGATGCAAAAAAAAATTTTCGTTTCAAGGTTAAGTCTATTAGATTCTTCTGACCTCAGGTCCAGGATTGTGCGTTAATCTTTTTGTGAGTTACTTTGATTGGCTAGGTGAACAATTTCTCACATTTTTTAGGTTCAGAGTCATACTCTACTTATTTTCCATTCGATATTGCTGCTGAGTATATTGTTTAATCTTGGTCCACATCAGTAGCCACCTTTTTTCTATTAAAATCGTAAACTTCTCCAGAAATAGCTTCAAAGGAAGCTTCTAGTATTTCCTTCTATTGTCTAAAAATGATCATATGAAATTTCATTTTTAGACAAACTGAATGTTGTGGAATTGCTTTTTCAAAACCTTTTTCATTCCACTTCTTTTGCTTAATGTATTTGCTCTTCTTTCTTCTCTGAGTAGATGGGTATGGAGTGTGGTTGAACTGGATTCTAAATTTTTGGGCAAGAAACATTTACATTTCATTAGCTGTATATCTAGGAAACAATACATTAATAAAAATGTTGTGTCCTTAAATCCTCTGTAGCTCTTAACTCCACAGGACTCTCTTTAGAACAAGAACTCTCCTTTTTTAAGTTTTTAAATCTCAAATCTCTGAACTCAAATACCAAATCTTTTATCAATAACACCCTTTACACAAACAGGGAACTCGTGTATAATAGGAAAGCAAGAGAGTATTAAATATAAGGAATGGTGTTGACTTCAAATAGTCACAAGAATTTGTGATTACGAAGTATGGCACTACATGGATTTTGGTGCCCATTTTATGGAACATTAATGT